TGGGCATGATTCGCAGACGTCCTTACCAAGCAGCATAGACTGAAGCCGTTCAATACTACTTCTGCTGTGGACGACACGAAAAGACTGCACCTGTCAGAAAAACGAAGTCTTTTCCTCCGAGTGATCGCTTGTTGTGCTGTACATCATCTCTTCTTTCCGTTTTACTTTTCCCTCTCTCTGATTCTTCTCTTTTGACTGAGATGCTGTTCTCATTCTGCGACCCTGATGATATAGCCGCATCCTCGAAGGTTTTGCATAAGTGTCGATCAGGAAACAGAACATCTGAGGAACCACGTGGGCACTTCCTGATTCACCCTATCAAGGCGCATCTGACCCTCTTGCAAGATTGTCAGTCTAGCGCTCCCACTCGCAGACAAACTCCATGTTGCCCATTGTAGGTAAAGGCGTTCAATTACAAACCTATAGTCGCTCAGTGACTCTTTAGGTAAGAAAAAGGCAAAAGAAGTCATGGAGAACACCGTAAGATGGTTCCCCTGGCACTTTAACTGCACGAGTTCTCTGAATCTGCTTGTTTTGATGCAGCAAGGCGATGTACTGCACTCCCCGCCACCTGGCTTACTAATCCGGTCCACCATTACCACCCCGAAAACTGAGAAAAATTTTTTGCTGAAACTCTGTTTGAAAAAGTTCAGTGCCATTATTGCTGATGTGATACCTTTCTACGCTAGCGCCATTTGACGGCACCTTTTGTCAACAAAATCGATGAAAATTTGTACACCGAGGTTATTTGACGTCCTGATCACGAATGTAACAACCATTTCTTGGTAGCAGCGCAATTTAGCGCTCTGCCAAGAAATGAGCCTGGCAGGAGGAGTGGTCTTTCCCGCCGTCAGTCTCATCCTCAGCACCGCGCAGATGACCAGAGTGCATAGGCGCAGGCGCCGAGAATGAATCTTATATTCGTGATCTGGATGTCGATAGTCCTCGCGTATAAGATCTTAACGACTTTGGCGAGATAGGTGATCGCGCCTGGAGCCATTTGGGGGTGAAGTGGCGCCAGCGCCAAGAACGAAGATCACATTCGTCATCGGGGCACTGAATAACATCTCCATACAAAGCTTCAGCAAAAAAATTGGGTTTTTCGAGTGCAATGGTGGAATAGTGCCATCCTTTCTTCGCGTCATCCTGATCTGACACCTTATGCAAGGGAGAAAAAACGAAAAACACCGTATAAAGTGAACCCGGAACAGAAAATGGCCTTTGGATTTTGGTGGGCGGTATAACCCAGGAAGCGTCAGAACTGCCACTTGTGAAGGTCGTAGCGCCTTCGTTACTTACCTTGGAGTTGCGAAAGTGGGATAATCCTAGAGAATGAGGACTAGATTACTCGAGCAAGAAAGTGCCTACGAATTGGTTGGGCGCGAGGACTATATTTGAAGAACCGATAGGGTCTTCAAACAGGTGGGCTATTGAATGATGACTTTTTGCCACTCGGTGATATTGCATGCATTATCGCATCCTGGTGGTGCCAGGAAAAAAATTTCTAATGTTTATTAAAAAATAAAAACCCGTGATTACACATATAAAAGAGACACAGCAACCAAAAGAGAGCAAGTATTTGGACGAAGAAAACCGCGTAAAAACCTGAGACAAATGGTGAACTCGATACTGTCAATCCTGTAAGGAGAGTACTCGTTAAAGTTACAAAACAAAAACGTCGATGTAACTTGATAACAATCGAACACTAGCATTATTCTACAAAAGGGCCTTTCGAAAATATACTGTACATTGATACATAGAACGACTCGCCGAACAAAAACTGATACGTATGGCGTTTTGGAGTACTGTACCGAGAAAGCAACCTAGACCGTAAATTGAGTTTACCAAGACAATTGATTGGCACTGCAAAAAAAGAAACACTGAGCATGACCTGAGCAACTTCGGGCCACATATAACTGATATCGGCTAAAACGCTTAACAAATTGAGCGGTAAGTCCGCTAGGGAAGGAAGGGGAGAGTACTGGAAAATTGTCTCCTATATGTGTGTGGAATGGTAGTCACCGTAATACAGGACTTCTTGTGCAAAAAGAAACTGGCTAACCTACTGCGGAGCTCCTCCTTCTCCCCCTACACATTTTTATAGGACAGAAAACCCTTACTTTCATCACGGCATTACTTTTGCATAGGGAGTGCTTCAAATATCCTCCCGTAGCGGACTTATGCTAGAAATAATGGTCCTCATTAGGGTTGAACCTCCATGTCACTAGGTAACACTGTAGCATGGACTTTTTGCAGGAGGGCTTCAATGGAATCACTTTTGCTGTCGGATTTGGTGGACAGTCACCGCTGATAAGTGTTGTCGTGAAAACAATAGTAGTTGTAGACGGGCCGTTTCCGCTTTAAGGAGGGCTACCTGGAAATTGTTTTTCAGAGCTGGTGGTAAAAAAAACTTACAGATAACTTCAATGTTTAATGTGAACAGGTTTGTGTGCGGAGGAAATAGGGAAGCTGAATGTATCGTGCACGTATGGTGGAATTGTCGGACCACAGTGTGCTGATAATTAGGCTGCGTTCTTTTTCCAGCAGCGTCCATCAGCGACTACTAGCGTTCCGAGTAAAAACAGCGCCGGCGACTAGGAAAGGTATCGATCTAGCGACCAGGAGCGTCTACTAGTGTCCACCGGCGACAAGCAGCGTCTAGGAGTGGAGAGCATGTGAGCATGGGGCGATAGGAGGGTAGCAGACAGCTGGTAGAGTATGGGGCGATAGGAGTGACCAGCAGTCATCCAGCCTCACATGGCCCCATTCTCCACCACTGCTGACGCGTATTTGTTCTAGTGGACGCTACCCGAAAGTATGAACGCAGCCCTAATAGTGTGGTCGCCTTGATCGAGCGAGCGATTCAGTCGCTCTGATCGCTTGGCTCTGATCATGAGCTTGGCGCAGTCGGCGCCAACCCGTCGCTGGCGCTGATCCGCTACCGACCAGATCGCGAAGTGAGAATGCATGCAAGCAGAATTCATTAGTTCACGCTCCCAGTTCTGCACAATGGTCCCTGACCCCCTTCCCTGAATTAACTAAGCGTCCGTTTCTGCCCGGGCACAAATGAGATTTGTTCGAACCTAAAAAACTAGCAAACCTTTTCGGAGCTTTGCTTACACTCTGATAATTAGATTTTTGGCCCAGTTCCTACTGTCAAGTAGTGAATGGTATTACCTGCCCACGCAACTGGCCGTTTTCTCGTTCAAGCCGCGTAGCTCGTTCGGCGATCAGCTCTTCCTTCATACGTCTGGCATCCCTGGACCGTTTCGCTGCGTCGTTATTCCGTCGGCGTCTTTCATAGTAGGCATCATCCTTCAAGTGAAGTTTATTATTTACGTGGCAAACAAGTCTCGTGCCAGAAATGTTCACAGAACAAAATAACCCTGTTAAAAATCAGTGGCCTTCGCTCACTTCACTCTTTAATCTTGCAATTAGCCAAGTGGTACCGAAGTGTGGGTTCTTCTACCCTCAAAACATCTTGAATGTCGTAATTCTTGTGAAAGCCCACTATTTTGCCACCCTCACTCCAAGAAGGTTCCAGATGCAATTTCTGCTGTACCCTCCATCTTTCCCAGTTCCTACTTTTATTGGGGCCCGGGCGCAGTAGTGTATCTAGTTAAAGCACTGACGCGCTAGCACTTTGTCGGTGGCAAGCAGTTGTTTGGCTTTTTTGTAGGAGCGGTGACCTCATCTCAGGTAGAAAGACAGGCAACAAGAGCAGTTGCGCAGCCGCCGTTGACCCCGTAAAGACCTCATCGATGAGGTCAGCTGAGGTGCCTATTACATACAGCGGCATCGAGATCCTCAGAGGAGCTCACTAGCTTCGATTCACTACCGCGACGGAAAGGACAGCAGAGAAATGGAGCGCTATCCAGCTTGGAGGGGACAATTAGCACTTTCGCTAGCTTCTTCCGCTAGTTCAAGTTGAGTAACAGCTCGACTCCCGTAAAGATGCGAAATAGCGCGAGTGAGCCACTTCAGGAACTTGAAGCTCATCACAAGGCAGCTCCTATGAGTTCAGCTGAGCACCACTGGGTGCCCCCCAAGCCGAACTTCGCCAAAAATGGCTCAGCGGTCTTATTACTCTTCCAAAGAGCTCGTGGTCAAATGTTTTAATTTCGCTAGGCAAACAACAGTTACGCCTACCGTATTACTCAGTGACCGTAGCTGTCATCGGTCATCGATCATCACTGCCTTTCAACTGCCCTTGCCTCATATTTGAGTTAAGCGGTGAAAAGGCCACTTCTTGAAAGGTGATCAATCAAGGGTCCTAATGCGAAAGTTTTTCTTTTACGGTAGTTGTGCACCGCACAGGTAAATCCTGACCTGGTTGGTATGTTCATACGCCGTTCTTTTGACTCCGAGTACACAAAGGTGCGGCATTATGGAAGCATACGCTTACCCCCATCATCCACGCTTCTTCCAAAATACGTTTTAAACAATGATATACCTCTCAGTTACAGTATCTAAACAGTAATCAGACAGTGGAAGTGACTGGACCATATGTTCTAAATGGAATGATTCCTTTATCCTTGGAAAATGCGACCCCTAGGAAACACATCCATCAATAGGGATTAGCATTTCTGTATGACGAACGGAGGACGGCAGTTGCTGAGTGTGTGTGGTGTGTGTGATGGCCCTGTCTGCCCTTCGCTGACCCCTCATTGAGGCAGTAATTCTGACGGATTAGAATAGCCCGACCGTAATTACGCCTAGTTGTATAAGAATGCCGTAGCGTAACAGTTGGCCAACGCGAAAAAAGGACAATGCCGCACTCTCGCTAGGTAACCGGAAACCGTTCAAATCCACATCGTGTCCATCACTCACCTTTCTCTCGTCCGGAATCGGTTTCGCGAGTTTTTCGAGCTGGTGATGCTTGAGGACTGGACAGCTGAAATAAAAAGATTCAAGGACAGAATACAGGAAATAACTCCACTTTTTACAAATGGAAATGTTGCGAAAACCCGCTAATACAAGCATGACACAATTTCGAGGCCTCAACGCTACCCAGTTCGAGTCGATGAAGCCTATAGTTCGATCTCAGTTTAGCCAAGAATTTGGTACCAACTGTGTGAAAGAGCTGAAGAGCTTCGAAAAATCGACCACACTTACAATAAGTCCTAATGATTTTTTTACTTGCTCTAAGCGTTTATGATGGAATGTGGCGAGCTTCCATTTTTTTCAAAGCTCTTCGTTTGTTACCTTTGAAGCGCAGCTTCTCAATCATATTCAGAGCTGCTTTGTTTGCTCAATATTAAAAAAACTACGCAGTACACGCTATGGTCGGAGGCGGTAGCTTAACGTATGAAATTGGTTGCAGGCAAGTCCTGGCGGCACTCATTCCAAATCAAAGCCGGAAATCACTGGACATTACTTCAAAATTCCACTCTGAAAATTTCAGAGACTAAAAATATTCTTTATTCTATCCTTAATCCGCAGCTTCTTCATCGAAACCAGCTGACTGTTAAATTATTCATCTTATTATTATTTACCCCAGAGAATTTGGAGTGAGCTCTGATTTTTCTAAAAAGGCCTGCACGAAATGTCGCAGGACTTTCGATCGACTTAAGAAATTCACAAGTTTCAGTTTCCCTCCTTAAGGCGAAACGAGACAGCTTTGGAAATAATGTACCGGTATCTCTCTACCAGGAGCACAAAGTACAACATCAACCACCCTTCGAAGGGGAGAGGAGACACCGCTGCTTCTCATCATTTCTAATTTGACTGTGTGACACCCGCGAACCGCATTACCGTGATAAAGGGTCCCCTGTGTGGTATCAGCTGCAAGGCTGAAGCAACCCAGTTAGAACATCTTTCAGGGTACTGAAGAACTTACTGACCCTTCAATAACAAGATTTTGGAAAAGAAAAAGTGGAAAAGGTACAGTGCTTTACTTCATCTTGATTCCGATTTCACATTCGATTATGGGAGCACCCGAGCTTCTAACATAGTATTTGGTTTTTTGAAGCAATTGGGCCGCTTTCGCCGATTCGTGAAATGTTATCAAAATCGAGAGTAGCATGGATTTGAAGCGATTTGAGTTACATAAATGATTTGTGTAATTCTTGATGAGTACTAAAAAACAAAAAAAAAATTCATTTTAGTGGGCCGTTTATAAAGAAACAACGCTCCAGTGCCGTTTTCTGGGAAAAGATTTATCGTATTGCAAGAAACCTCATTTTTTGAGACCACCCATTGCTAATTTCACAACCTCATCTTGAATTGCTAAATTTCACAAATGTAACTTGGGAATATCCCCTACGAGGTAAATCCGAAGTTTCACAGCAGGAAAATTTCATGTACTAGGCCATAAAACTTCATGACACCGACAATTATTTGAAAGCTTATGTTTACCTGCGAGTAAAGCCAACAGTTGCTGGCTCTGCGAAAGTGGGCTGCACGGCGAGTCAAGTCGGGCTTTTTTCGGAGTGGCAGCTGACTGTGGCTCGGCTGGCGAAACGCTGAACAAGGAGGGATCCATAGGATTGCCCAGTGGAAAATGGTAGTGACGTCATGAGAGGATGATGCACAAATGCACTGAATGGGAATGTTGTAGGTTGCATGACAGTCGGACGACGGATCAGCGCCGATAATGTGTCGTGAAGGTCCATCTGAGCAAGGTAGATGGTAACTGAGGAGCTGGGCGAACTCTGCTGACCTCTTCGGGTCAGCACGCTACGAATTCCGGTGAGGGGTGTGTTAAGCAGACGACGGCTGCGCAACAGGCTGCTGACCTCGATGCCACGCCCCTGGGACCGGCCGCGCTCGGGTCAACGGTCCAGGAACAAAGCACCCCGACTGATGACCGCAGATTGTCACCTCTGTCCCTGCTACTGAACACTCATTGCGTCACTAGCGCAGCTGAGAAGTGTTAGTTTGAGAGACAGTGGAACGAACTGCAGAATGCTCAGCAATCAGGAAGGTGACAAGGGGTTGATTACGTTCTGAAGAAATGTAGGGCTTTCGAAGATGTGCTGTTCCACTGGCTTCGATCTTGTTTATCAGGGAACCCGAGAAGATGACCATATCTTCTTACAGCCTCAAGGTTGCCTTATACGGTAATGTCAGGTGAGTTCTGCAGTACATTCCGTGACGGTCTCTGGATTTTTTTTCTTTTTCTTCAAAGTCTCAATACCGAAACTAAGACAGGTCTCTCGACTGTCCTAAGAAGCAAGAGATCGCAAAGTTTTGAATAAGAACTTGCACGGGAAACCCAAGAAGACATGTCCGACGGTGAGAGTAATATGGTGGAATTTACATAGCCGAGGTCAAGTGTGCCATGGCGCAACGATAACGAACTCTGTGCATACACATATGCAGCTATTTCTCGTCTTACGTTACTATAAGTGTCTACAGAATTCAAACATATTTGATAGCGTGAATGTTCTCACCATGCAACACAATTCCTCATGCAACCTGTTCTCACTCAACAAATAGACGAGGTGGAAACAAGGAGTTAGGGTTGACCTAAAATACATGGTCAGGAGCCCGAAGACTTTAGGAAAATCTGCCCTTTTTTGAGCTTCGGGCCACTGCTCTTCTCACATGCATGAGTTCTGGGTTTATCCTAGCAAAAATGCTGGAGAAAACGGATTCCTCAAAAAGTAGTTCTGCCTTGCATGGATAGTATGGTTATACTAGTTTCTCATGAGAAAGTGATAGGGTAAATCATGTGTGTGCTGAATGGCCTCCCACGGATGAAAGTGAGTGAGGAACCCGTGTAAAATGCCCCAGATGAAGCCTCGGTGGCCACACAATGAAATTATTGTACAAACAACGATTCCAAATATATACAGTTCCTTCGAGAAATTCACG